TGGCAGAGCGTAAAAGCGTTCCCACGAACAAGATGGATGGAACGAAAAGTGCTTTTGATACAGTTAAACCAACGAGAACTGTACCCCTGTCAGTGAATGTATATCGGGATATGTTTTTTCAATCATGTGGAAATGCAAATGAAGTTGTCAGTTATCGTGTCAAGAGCAATAATATGTAGATCATTGTAAGATAATTTGTGAAAAAACTGACATGTTTTTAATAGTTGATAATGATGATTATTGAATTTGATAGGTAGTTTAATGTTTCATACACCATTAGTAAACAAATTTTCATCTAAGTATTCTCATAAGTTATTTTAACACAGTTCGCTCTTTTAATAAACGTCAACCTTTTAATAAATCATGATCAAGAAAAGATGAATGGAGCATGCCAAAATCACGCTAACCGTAAAGGATGGGTAAATGAAGCAACGTTTACGCTATCTGAAAGTAGTAATAATATCTAAGAAAAAAGCAGATAATCTTTATAATTCGTTTGTTTTGCAAACTGTTATTCTTAATACAAAAAAGTTCTTCAGTTTAGCCTTAAAAAAGGTGTCGGAAATGAACGCAAGATTGTTATCATGTTTTTTTGTAAATCCATTAAAAGCATGAAATATTTTGACCTGTATTTCATTTGCAGTTGACCACTTATTATTGATCACCAAAAATACTTGTTTGTGTACGCAGACATGTAAAACGATTATTGTGTTTGTGAGTTGGACGTAACCAGATACAATGTAATCAGAAATACATCATCCTTTTCTGTGACAACGTGAGAAACAACAGAGCCCGTACCTTGCACGTTACTATCGTTCATATTGTGAAGAAAATTATCTCTGTCCACAAGTACAGATCTTTTATACAAATTTCAAAAAATATATAACCAATTATAACGCATTTACAACTAGGAATTTCATCGGACGAAGCGGAATGAAAAAATTGGAAAATGGGATGAAATTTTTTTTCAAAAGGGGTGTGAAAAATCGACGTGAATTTAATGTCATTCTCAGATCACGATTGCTCCTCCCTATGTATTTGTGATCACACATACATTTGAATTGGTAAACGCAGTGGGATGTGACGATCGTTTTCATGTCTTTTAGGTTTTGCATGAAGCATGGACCTCGTTCTTTCTTTGCTAATGACCTTCGCCGCGCAATACGTTTTGTTGATGACTGATTTAAGCCTTTGTTTCAATGAAAGGATATTTGAATCACCTCTAAATGGTAAGGTGATGTAGACAGGCTTTTTTCCACCAAGTCTACAGTAGGTCTCACTGTACCATGAACTTTCCGTGTATTTATAAGTTTGAGTGGATAACCCTTCCTCATTAATATCTTGTTTAACAACTTGACATCATCATCAATAGCGACATTTGTGCAAATACGATCAAGCCTGTTAAATAAGACACCTTATCAAACCCCGTTTGTATTATACAGGACAGTAACTATAGTCACTAAGGTATTGGCCTGTCCACGTTGGTTCTCGAAAAATGGGTCGTTCGATTGAGTCATCATCTCGTCCAAATTGCTGCAGAAAGAAGAAAATACAACCTGGAGGTGCTTGGAATCAGTGAAACACATTGAACGCAGGTTGGACAACAACGACACTATGGAAGCTTCTTCGACACTACGGCGTGCCTGAGAAGATAGTCAACATCATACGGAACTCCTATGATGGACTAAACTGCCAAATCGTCCACGGAGGGCAACTCACCGACTCGTTCGAGGTAAAGACCGGTGTTACGCAAGGTTGCTTACTCTCACCCTTTCTCTTTCTCCTGGTCATCGACTGGATCATGAAGACGTCAACATCTGGAGGAATGCACGGGATACAGTGGACAGGCAGGATGCAGCTTGACGATTTAGACTTCGCGGATGATCTGGCTCTTCTATCACAAACGCAACAACAAATGCAGGAGAAAACGACCAGTGTAGCAGCAGCCTCAGCAGCAGTAGGTCTCAATATAAACAAAGAGAAAAGCAGGACTCTCCGATACAATACAATATGCACCAATCAAATTACACTTGATGGAGAAGCTTTGGAGGATGTGGAAACCTCTACATATCTGGGCAGCATCATTGATGAACACGGTGGATCATATGCAGATGTGAGGGCGCGGATCGGTAAAGCAAGAGCAACGTATCTACAACTGAAAAACATCTGGAACTCAAAACAATTGTCAACCAACACCAAGGTTAGAATTTTCAATACAAATGTGAAGACAGTTCTACTGTATGGAGCGGAGACGTGGAAAACTACGAAAGCCATCATCCAGAAGATACAAGTGTTTATTAACAGCTGTCTACTTCGGATCAGGTGGCCAGACACTATCAGCAACAAGTTACTGTGGGAGAGAACAAACCAGATTCCAGCAGAGGAAGAAATCAGGAAGAAGCGCTGGAAGTGGATTGGGCACACCTTGAGGAAATCACCTAATTGCGTCACAAGACAAGCCTTCACATGGAATCCTGAAGGTCAAAGGAGAAGCGGAAGACCAAAGAACACATTACGCCGAGAAATAGAGACAGACATGAGAAGAATGAACAAGAACTGGATAGAACTAGAAAAGAAGGCGTAAGTAAGTAAGTAATGTGTCTTCTATAGCACACGTTAGCTCGATTGTTGCCTCGTAACTTGATCTATGGTACTAAATTATTTACTTAACTTCTCCAACTTTGTTTAAAACTTGATAATGTCCAGAAAATAGCTTAACAAGAATAACTTAACGGTTCCAGATACGCGAACTTTGTGTGGATCGCTATTCCACTCAAAAATTAGAATGAAATGTCAGATAAACGCCAAGTCTAAAATCAAGCCACCTCTAGTTCTTCGATATGACAACGGGAATAGACTTAGCTCAACCGCGAATCAACTTAGTTGCTGTTCTCTGAACCTTTTCCAAAAGCCTACTGTATTTTTTAAGCAGAGGCTAACCACTTGTATGCAGTACTTCAGCTTAGGACTCATGATTACTGTTTACAAAATCGATAAAGTTTTAGCATTGATATGACTAAAGGCCCTACGTATTGACTACAGGATTCTAAAACCTTTGACGACTACTCCACAACAGTGTGCAGTAGTTTTTAAGTTGTTGCGGTAAATAAATCCCCAAAATCAATAGCTCTGTAAGTGTACCACATTGAATGCTGAACACATTAGTTTCAATGGGCTCACCTAGCTGAAGGCTCTCAGTCATGAATCCACACCAGATCATGAGCTGGAACAGCGTGCTTAACGTCTCCTGCGATCACTAGCCAGATTAGATCAGTCACTTCTCGATGTATTGATAATCTATCAAATATATATTCCAACCTCCTCGCTTCTGATTTCACTGGGTAGGCGCGATTCAATTTTAGGTGTTACCCTTTATCAATAGTATTCATGTGTAACAATTTTTCAAGGTTTGAATTTGCTCTTCCCTCTAGTTTGCTAATACCTTCAATTTTAACATTTGTGTTATATGCCGAAGCGATTTATAAATGGTAACTTTGAGAGCTACTTATCGACCAATATGCTACGTATAATTCCCATTGTATAATTCTTAAGTCACTTAGCTATTCATGCTCCTTTCATTATAAGCTTTATTTTGATCAATATACATCCACATTTGGCTAAATCTTGTACAAATATTATTTTCTATTTTATGGTAAGATGTGGTCACTTTGCTTGGTATATAAACCCAGTATGTTTGAGAATAAGGATTCATATTGCAGATGCTGTTATTGGTGTTCTGAACTGGCTGGGCTTGGCAAAAAGCAGGATTGATAACTACGCAAGACTGTTCATACGGCTTTTGTGTATGATTGCTCTGATCGATAATTCACTCCTCTCTGATTGGCGGGAACCAGCACGTTCATATATATTAACAGGGCGCTCAAGCAATCGATATAACAATCAGGCATAAATTTACTTTCATCCTTGAGGATGGATAACATCTTACTTTTACATTCACAAATGTTCATGATAACCACGCCTGATCCTTTATCCTTCAACAAGACATCAGGGTTTGAACGTAGTTCTTTTAGTGATTTAAAATACTGAGAAGTTAATACGTTTCTCTGCTTTGGTCCAAGATTATGAAATTGGTGTGCTATGTCCACCAGTTTAGCTTTACACCAGCTTTGATTATTTAAAGACCTGGGGGTTAGAGTACTCAGTTATTCATATAGATTTCTGAATTGGGCATTAATTTTTTAACAAGCATATGTGTGATTAGATTGTTCGAAATGTATTGCGCTAATATATGAAGTAGTTCTGATAATCTTCGTCTTCTTATTACACTATCGGAATATATCTTCTTTAACCTCTCATTATTGTCATGTCGAGCTGTATATTGCCTTGACGATCTATTGAAGTTGTTTTGTCTATTGCTCATAATTATAGTCACTGAAACAAGTTTATTACATAAGACAATGGGTTGTAGCTGTTAGTGGACTTCATGGATGACGACTATAACGAAATTCAATGCCTCAACTAGTTTCACATATGGTACGTTAGTTAACCTCATTTTCCTGTGGTGGTAATAGCAGCTAAATACGAATATGCTGACGGAGATTATTCCAACCAGGTACACCTAGGAGAGATATTAGAAAGCCCATTCAATATATTTACGTGTGATTTATTTTACACACGAAAAACAGACAATAAGTAAGACTGGACACGTGAGACCTAAGGTGCGTTCCAGTCGCACGTGTGGCATCGTCCATACCTACTGCTCACCAGTCCCATACTACGACCAAACGGCAGTTCACTACTTCCAGCTCTAACATTCATCCACCGTTGATGATATCAATGTGAACTGAACAGGCTCCACAACCCTATACTGATAATTATGTGCTGACTAGTGAAACTCTTCAGGGTTGATTGCTAGTGAGAATCAGTGACAAGTGCATTTGCGGATTGACGAATTTTCAAGGGAAATCATAACCGATATGCGCATTCAATGGCGTAACGCGAACATGAATATCATCAAAACTATCAAAAGGACTAGTTTTAAATCTGCAAATGATATATTTATTGTGAGTTGACTTGTTTTTAGATAATATACAAACAATTAGTTATTCTGAATTGTTTGTAGAACGTAGAAACAACATGATACATTTAATTGAATATACAAGTATATGACATTATATTTAGAGGGAGTGAAATTTAACTCCCTCCTAAACTAATTAAATAAAACAAACAGAACTGTCATACTTTCCATATAAGAAGTGTGTGAATGATTGAATCAAGCCAATAAGCAAAAATGAATGTGACAATGACGTTATAAAAACAGACCACTTGACAATTAAAAGTCTTACTAGTGGTGTGTTATAAAAAAAGTAATTGCCTACGTTTTTTATGTGAAACAGAAGTGGAGAGTCAAAATATTGATAGTTTACGAAGAGTCTCAGTCGGGTGTTTCATTTTCAGACTCCGATGGCGTATCCAACCCAAGAGGGTTTTTTCCAGATATTTCTTGAAGATCATAATGATACGGTTGAGATGTTTCTTCTTCATCTGTAGGAGGTTCGGATGATATACTTGGAGTATTATTTGGTGAACTTGAGTTGTTTTGTTTGACACCAGAAGTAACTGTACGTTGAGGTGCTAAGTTTGAGTCTTCGTCGTAAATCTGTACACCAATACTGTCAGGTGTAAGTTGCCTTTTAACTGAACTTGTTGAGTCCAGTGTATTTTTCGATATTCGATCTGAGTAAGACATTGTTTCTTCGCCTCCGCGTTCTTTACGTTGGCTTTCAAGTACTGAAGGCTTGGTAACTCGTTTCGCAGAGCCCAAACTAAGCGGCGAATCTGGATTGAATAAGGCTGTCGAAGACAAAGAATGTCGGTTTGTAATTTTTAACAGATTGTTATTAATTTTACGACGTTTAGTATTATGACTAACCATTGCCTTCTCTTTTTGTAACTGGCGTATTGTAGCCTAGAGAAAAAGAAGACAAGGTACGGTCAAGTACTGAGTGAAAAAATTAGAATTATATTTAAAATTGATAGTTTTTGATCGTTCTTTACGAAGTTCTCTAAAGACAAGGGGAAAAGCCGAAAGTACTTTAGCCAACTAGCGCTTATTGAAAACTCCCCAGAAAAATCCAGAAATCAGCTAATCGTCCTTTCCTTATTCTGACTAGATAATTACTAAGTTGTTCCACTAACTTCGCTTCTTCTCAAAAACTTTTAACATTTAAAACCGTTCACAACCCTATACCAAATCATGTTTTCTGTACACCACTTAGCGTTTGAAGTAAGGCATCTGCAATTTTTGTTTACAACTTAATAGAGCAAGATTTCCGGGGACTAGGAAGCAAGTATCTATGACGCTCAAAGCATAACAAAACTTATAAACATTTCCAAACAAATCCTAAATAAAAAGCTTATGATTATTTTGAGTTATAAACAACTAACTGGATAGAAAACAAACGGATTAATTCTCCTTTTTAGCCTTACTGCTTAATCACATGGATCAGATGTTTGATTTGTAAAAAATATATTCGAGAAAATCAATGCATTAAATTGTCGCGAAGAAAACAAACTTACTAGCAACCGATCTTGTTCAAGTTGTGCAGTTGATTTTATTTTTCGGACACGATCCTCATTCATTGATTTTACTTCAATCATTTCAGAGCGTAGTTCTGCTATTGTACGATCTTTAGTTAACAAGTCAAAGTCTTTAAGTGTTAATTGACGTTTGAGTGATTTGATCTCATCTTGTAACTGGCTTATAGTAAGTAAGTGTTCATTGTACACAGAATCTAAGCTAAATTAATGATAGTAGGGAAAAGTAAATGTGGAAATATAAATGATATGTATTAATATCAAGAGTGGGACTAAGTTATCTAGGATAGATTTGGTATTCAGATTCTGATATCATACAGAAACTTTACTTGTAACCTGATTGATAAGTCTTCGAAATGAACGCTAGGTTCGGTTTATAAGCTCTCTTCTAGTAGCCCCCAGGTAACAACTTGAACATGAGAGAAAAGGCGCAAAATATGGAAGAAAAGCTTCAATTCAAGTTTTGTTCATGTACAGAAAACCTAAGGTATTTATAGCATTTTAGATGGCCTTCAGTTTTCGGAAAAGTCTGGGGCGATACTTAAATGTAGTAGCAGTATAGGTAATCATCCAGCCAGAAACGCGACACGTGACTTTTCCCTTTCTAGATGTTTCTGGCAAGACTTCTATTGAATGCTGATTGCGTAAGAAGTCTCTCAATGTTTTCGTAGCCTCTTTTGGCTCTTGTAAAGGAATTTTCTAGGCCTTAGAAACAGTGACTTTAGGGTTTTTTTGATTGAATAGATGGCAAGATACTTTGTCCTCTCTTTCGATAGTGTATTAAGAATACGAAGATTATTAGAGCTATGTGATATATTGGCGTAATACATTTCGAGCAGTCGGATAACACGTATACTTGTTAAGAACACATATAAAAATAAAAAGTCAACCAGTAATATTAGCTGATTATTCGGAGTGATGAGGTTCCAAATTGTTTTCACATTACTTTTCTTTATTATCCTTGTTTCCTCTTATCCTCCATTTCTAGTCTGGTTGACCTTTAGTGTTTATATATAAATGTTCTTAACAAGTATATGTGTGATCAGATTGTTCGAAATGTATTGCGCTAATACATCACATAGTTCTAATAATCTTCGTATTCTTATTACACCATCGAAATTTATCAAAGAGACTAATTACTTCATCTGTTTTTATGGTTATAGTTATAATACTGACTCAAATAAATAAAAAAATTGATACTCCAGTCAAATTATCTTTGAGGATGTTTAGGTTGGAAAGTTTTGGTATAACTTTAGACAACAAAATGAACGTAAACTTACAAGTGTGTGAATTGATTTGGCGAGACTAAAGAACATGGACGAGCCAATCAGAAGCTTTCGCGGGTTTTCAAGGTCACAGCGCTAAGTTCTGTACCTGACGCTTACGTACGGTCAGTTTACAAAGGATTTTAGAGAAAACATGATAATTAAGCGTCTACAAGATATGTTACCATAAGATTTTGGCGCAAAATTCAATTATATATTTGGATTGAGTTGTGGCATTATAGCTGATGTCAGTTCGTGAAAACCCTAAGTAAAATTCATAACCTTAACCATGGACTGTAAATCATAATTTGAAATCTTCATACGGGTTTATAACCCTCATTTAGTCTTAGTTATTACGTTGACACTCTCAGATTCACTCTAGCGTCGCTCAAATGTCGTCCATTATTTATGGTCTCATCTTTAACCCTAAACCGTAACCCTAATCCTAAACCATACTAACAACCGACAACACTGAAACTATGTGATCGAGGCTGAAAGAATTTTCGGGACTTTATCATGGTTCCAGATGTCGACTATTATGGAGCCACAGGGATGAGTTCCTGTGCCGGATGCACTATGATTTTAGAACTTCTGAACCTATATCTGACCTTGATAAGTTTTTAATGCATGTAAAAGAACAGTTTCCCTTTTAATTTTTGAGTTTTGTATAATATATTTTTATTGTATGCTAATTGTCTTCTGATTGGCCAATATTTCTCAAGGTCATTTAAGATTCGTTCAAAGGTCGTCCATGTTCTTTACCATGTTCCTCACCGGTATTCCCTGATTAAATATGCTGCAGCACGATAAGACGACACGAGACTAACCTTATTTCTGACAACAAAAGCAACAATTAATAAAGGCACATAAAATGTCTGAACAATGTGGGGAATCGGGAGAGACATTTAAATGGCAGACATGATATACAACCTGGCTGTGCTTGGAAGAATTTAAACTTATTCGACAAAAACCGGACAGAAAAGGCTAGCTTCGGGAGATACGTTGTTATATTCTAGTCATAGAGAATAAAATGGTCTGCACACATGAGGAGCTGCACTGATGCTCTTCAAAGAAGCACAAAAAATGCTTATAGGATGGGGATCTAATGGCTCTAGGATCACTAAAGCATTCTCTATAACAAAATAAGGGATTGCAATGAATGTCATCTACAAATGATAGCGACGAAGATAAACATCAGTTTTATGGGATGCGGCAGTCCATCGTAGAGGATTTCTAAGGAAAACATCTGATCATTCTGATAGGTAATCTAACGTCCTGAAAAAGTTTTCTAAAACCTCGATCCAAACTACACATTGGAGCCTTCAACGTACGTACCCTAAGTCAAATCGGTCAACAGGCCTCCTTGGCTAAAACCCTAGAATCTCGTACGATTGATGTATGCTATGTCTCCGAAACACGCATGCAGGATCTTAGTGTGGTCATTCACTTGAACTCACCTCGCTAAAATGGACAGCGAACGAAATACACCGTCCGTGTATCTGGCGACCCCATGACTAGTTCTCGTGGACTTGCAGGTGTAGGCATAGCACTTAGTACAAAGGCAGAACAAGCACTACTAAAACGGAAACCCATTAACAGTCGCCTGTGTGCTGTCCAGCTAAATGGCTCCGTAAGAACTCGGGAGGATAGGGACACACGTCGTTGCCTTTTCGTCGTTTCTGCCTACGATCCCACTGACTGCAGCCATGATGAAGTGAAAGATGACTTTTACAGAAAGCTCTCCTAACTTCTCGAAAAAGCTAAGCACTCAGACATAGTACTCGTAGCGCGTGACTTTAATGCCCCTTTAGGTAGCTTAAACCAATCGGAAATACATTTAGGTGGGTATTTTAGTATTCTGGCTCAACGAACTGATAATGGTGATCGTCTGTTGCAACTTTGCTCAGACAATCGTTTATTTTTACCAAGCACTAATTTTAAGCATAAGGAGAGACATCGTCTAACATGGCGACCACCTGCACCAAACCAACGATGGACTGAAATAGACCATATTGCCATCAATCATCGGTAAAGTATTTTATTTATTTATTTAATCACATACATAGTGGTACAAAGGGCACCGGATACATATGCACCACACGTTAGAGGCTCGATAGAAGATTGTCGCTCGTTCTGGAATACATGTTTAGACTCCGATCATGCTCTAATACGAGCAGGCACTTGTCTGCGCCTCACTGGACGCAGAAAAACTACACTAAGAAGACCCATTAAGATTGAACTCAGTGACAAGAAATACAAAAGTAATTTTTAGGAACGAAACGTGGCATCAGTGCTTGAAGTCACTAACTTCTATTCTCAGCCATGTTCGTAGATGCAGACTACTCGGTTAGGGTTCGCGCGACTATCGTAACCAACCGTTGGAGACTCTGTGTGACATGGCCTAGAATTGATCACACTGGCGTAGGTGTATACACTTTTTGCCCTAACTGAGGCAGGTGGTTTTCTTAGTGGGGTCACACCCGGAGCCTTTGACCTGAAGGCCTAATCATAAAGGCAGTGGAGTATTGTGAGGAGATGCAGTCACATGGTAGCCAGTGACCAACGATTGGTTCATACGCCATTTGTTCCTTCAGGATGCTGGAGCCCATGTGCACCATTGTTTTGAAATCGGGGTTTTCCAACTCCCATAAGTGGACTTTCCGTGTCCACCAACCCGGTTATAGCTTCAGACATTCGCTTTTCGTCCTCTCAATTTTGTAATCAACAGTAATGCCACGAGAAGGCAATGAGTAGGACTTCCCTGGCAGAGGCTATATATGTGAGAGCATTTCGAGAGCGAGGGCGAACACTCCCCACTCTCGGCAGTACCAGAGCATTTGGGGCGCCATCCCTTAAACCTTGAGATTAAAATTGCTTCATAACTTTCTTCCTTCCTATGCTATATCCTTATATACAACCTATCTTTTATATATTACCACCACTAAATTAACTACTTCTATTAATCCGGTGTTCATCTTGTTGTGCTAACGAGGTATGGCAACATGGACCGATGTATATGTGCCTGGTCCTACGTTGTAGCTGACTGACTGACAGTTGTTTGATATTCCCTTCTCTTGCAGCTTTTTTCGCCGTCGTTGCTAGGTCTCCCGTGTATTTGTGCTTGCCGGCTTTAATGCTTTTCTTCACTTACTTGTTTGCTTCTGCGTACTCTGCATGCTCCTTGATTTTCTTTGCTCGTGCTCGACTGGTGTAAATTGTTGTTTTTTTCTTCTTCCTTTATTCTATATTGTCCATGTTTCCCATAGAGATCCATTCCTCATGATGATGATGCTTCTTAGGACCAAGAACCTCCTGACACGTTGAAGTTAGTGCTTCTTTTATCCCTTTCCAGTTGTCCTCCAAATATATCTTTCCTGCCTCTTCTCGTCTGACTTCTGATTTCTAGCTGACTGGGAACAATCGAATTTAGAAGGTGCTACTGGTATCTAGTTGTAAAACCAGAATATCCGTTGCATCATCAGTATCTCGAAGGGAGTCTTCATTGAACCTTTGTAGTGCTGTTTGTCCAATTGTCCAGTGTTTCTTTAGCTTAATTCTCATCTCGGCCACAACCAGGTGGTGATCTGAAGCTATATCAGCTCCTCTCCTGGTTCTCACATCTTCCATTGTCCTTTGGAATTTTTGTTGATACAAATATGATCTATCTGGTTCTCTGTGGCGTAGTCCGGCGAGATCCATGTAGCTTTGTGCACGTGTTTGTGCGAAAATATTGTGTCGCCTATAGCCAATTTGCTGAATGCACATAGATTTGAAAGTCTCTCCCCATTTACATTCCTCTCTCCTAGTCCATGACATCCAATTATATCTTCATATCCTATGTTGTCCACTTCGACTTTAGCGTTTAGATCCCCCATCAGGATTTTGAGGTCCTTCCTAGACCACTTCGCTATGATTGATTGCAGCCTCGAATAGAACT